TTCATTGGATCATCCTCTGCATTTAGATCACATATCGGAATCCCCGTTGTTACACTAGTACAGTGATAATACTAGTGATATATTGAATTCAGTCTACATTTCCGGTTATATGCTGGCCCTTTTTCTTTTGTCAACTACATAGTTGTCCAAATCTATCTTTTCTTCAGTATAACACAGTTGAATAAAAAACTCATTCTTACGACGTATTTTGAATATGTCACGCCAAAATCATCATGTGCATTTACGCTCTGATTTATTTCGCTACAAATACCTACGCCTTCATTTGGAAGGGGTAAAATTAAAGCTGAAACCATCTACAAACTACTATGTTTCACGTTACCCACTGGTTAGCTTTCTTCAAACACTATAGCCACTCTCATACGGTAACACAACAGTCATGAAACTTTACTAATTGCAAAATTCCTCTCGACATTTTCCGTTATATACAATTTTGAACAATTTGAAGTTAAACTTCGTGAGCCTGGAAGTGACATTCGGTTTTAATATTACAGAAAGCATTACAATACGAGGAGCAAATGCACACTGACTCACATCATTGCTGTCAGATACTTCACTGTCTTTAAGTTAGCAACAATTTAAGAAAAATTAACCATTTCTGTATCACTTATAACTACATAGAACGGTGGTTGATGGGTCATCGAAACCTTTGGTATCAGAAACACCGAAATACTAAGCGGTGTTTATTAATATGAAGGACACTCCGTAGAGCCTTCAATACTACGGCCGACAATATATTGTGCACTCAACATATACTAAGATGATTTAAAATGCTGGACTCAAAGAAAAAGTCTATCAGCTGTGCCAAATAATGGAGATTTATTTAAACACTGAGATGCCCCCTTTAAAGAAAGACTGGAAGGTGTCAATTCTTCCCAGATGAAAAAGAAAACCTTATAAGAAATCTTATATTGAACCTATGCCTGCAGCAGCTCAACGTTTGGTAGATTAATTTTCTTTTTGAGTTTTACCCGAGTTAATAGTTTGTAGTGAACTACTTTTAATTATTATTAATATAACCCATTGTACCAGCGATTGTTTTACTGTACTTGTATTTGTAACTGTACCAAAAACACTTTGCCTCCCGTTGTCCATCTTGCTTGTGTGGACGCTCTTACACTCTGCCATTTTGCCTGTAATATTTGGTACGTCTCGATATTCTTTCAATATCACGAGATCGCCAACAAATATATTTTACCTGGACCTTTAACAACCTTCTGGTTTTTGGCCTATCGGGGGATCCAAGTCAACATCTGGCACGTAATCTTATTGTAGTAGTGAACATAGTCAATTGTGACTTCACGCCATCTACATCTGGTGAGCTCGACGTGTGCTAGCTTGAGACAATCAATGCTGACTATCTCGACGCCGCCATGTCGATCAACCTTGAAGATCTTTTCATGACGGGAAATCACATGAAAAGGTCCTTCGTAAGGCTGTTGCAAAGGTTTGCGTACCGTGCTTTTGCCCCGGCTTGCTAGTTGGTTTTTGTAGTTTTCCACATCAAAACTAGTTTTAATATGTCCTAGCCCTTTTACCAAATGCTTTACCCGTTCTATCCATTTTCAGTGAATTCTTATTTTACGGTTCAAAATGTTTGTTGCGATCTATCCAACAACTCACATTTCACTATGGTCATGAAGGACTCATGTAATCTATCTGAATGTTGTTATGCTGTCACTTGTGGGATTCAGTGTGACAAATACAAGGGTTCATTTCATGAAGCATGCGCAGATCTTACTGTAACTGGTTTCAATAAATTTAGTCAGATGACATTTGGGTATTTGGCACATGCAATATGAGTGCTGAGGATTTGTTGAGCAATATCATCATTCTCTTGATAGGTCTGCGAAATACACTGATAGAAGCCCTGAATAAAAGCAGTTCTGGAACCGCTAAACAAACAAAGATGCTCAGTGAAGTAAAAAAGAGGGTGTTCTGCAACATCAGTATTGATGGAACACGCACCGACACCACTGAGGACATGGTGAAACCCAGCACCATCATAACATCGATGGTGATAGACTCTCTCAGCAAACTTGTTTCTCCCAGCATAGGCCCCTATGTGCGATTGTGTTTCCCGAAAATTCTATGGATGACTGGGTCTTCATCAATAGAGTTAAAAAGGATCGAGTGTCACCATCGAAAACGTTGAACACTCCAAGTCTTGTAGGTAAATCAGTTAGACAGTTGGTCTTGAGATCTACCCCTAAGATTGCCCAAACGATCAGCTAATACCACAGGAATCCAGAATGCAGTCCAACTTTCAAACAATAAGTACCCTGACTTCAACGACAAGACCTGTGAAAACGAACGCGGTTCGAGATGATTTTTCTCATGATTATGAAGCTTAAAGATGGCTCGACCTTTCTCTAGGTCTACGGGACAGAGACGTCAGGATAGTCAGGTAAAAGGTAAATAGGAAGCTCAAAATTCCCAAACGTGAGCGACTAGCTGTTACAAAACCTACCTGTGTAAAGAATTTCGAGCACCAAAATTATCCAATACTCCTTCCTGTAGCGTTCGCCAGAACCACTGCTATAGGTGATGGTCTGCTTGTCAGTCACTGGCTGAAATCAGATGTAAGGAAAATGCCTGACATACCATATTCTAAGCACAATCTAAAAAGGGACATTTCTCTGGGAAACTTCCTGAGATGTTCTTTCTTTGGAAGAGTATCATTGTGCAAGGTGTCCCAGAAAACAAGGACCCTGATTATGCAGACTATGATATTTTATGGTGGAATTTCATAAAGCAGTGTTTGAGGTTCAAGAACATACTGACTGCATAAGCTGTCCGACTATACAAGGAGGACAGGAATTCTAGACCGCGGTTAATGAAGTTGACCTTCCAATCCTCTCGAATGATGGCTGCCAATTTTTGTCAAGAGACTCCAGTTATCAACTGAAATCCACGCGTATCAGGTCAAGCCACATGATCCAGAGATTAGACAGATAAGGAAATGAGAAATGACTACTACACTTATGGGCTATCAAGGAAAAATGTAGAAGAGACAAAGACTATCAACTTGGGAAACTCTGTGAAAGTAGGCTGCCTTGCAACTCACTCTCATTCAAATAAACAGGCTGAGGAAGTTCACACGTTTCAAATCGAAAGCATAGATTGCCTATATACGAACGCAAAAAGTTTACTTAACAAAATGGATGAGCTGCCTGAATTAAGTGATGCTAATAATACTCATGCTTAGATTGTATTTTCACAAAAGAAAAATTCATAAGTGGCAACCTCTTAATCCAAGCTCTTTTGTTAAAAAGTGATCTCGCCGTGATAGACTTGAATTTCGCTATCGAGACTACGTTAAAACATCTTACTAATAATAGACATTTGGATTTCAAAAAGCGCTGATGTGCCAGCTTTACAGAACTATTTACAGCAGGTAGACCGAGATGCCTAACCTCAACTTGATTTAGATGCTCGTTGAGATTTATTACTGCACACGATCTTATGTGTTACAAAACAATCTGTCTCTTGAACGGTCCCCAAAGGTTTCAAGCAACGTACAGTCACAAAGAATCACACTCCTCGAATGCTAGGACGCGAAAGTCATTAGTGGACGGTACAAAAATGAACTAGTGACAACAGTACATTTAGGCAATTCAAAAACACGGGGAACCAATGTACGAGGTCAATAAGAGAAGACAGGCTTCAGTATCAGATAAAGCTAATCGACAAGCCGAGGCACGGTACCATTATAAAGAAAACTGGCTTAAATAACACCAATTTTCAAAAGAGGTCTACGTGACGACTTACTGTCCATAAACTTCCTTTCACCCCAACATCAAAGTTTCAGAAAGGGTCATATACCTTAACTTCTCAAAAGCATTTGATAGGGTCAGTTATATGTATCTTACCAGTAAGCTCAAACGGTAAGGTATCAAGCCACCGCTGATTGATTGGCTTATTTCACATCCAAATGGTTTACTTTTCAGGGTTCGGGTAAACTTCTCAGGCTGAGAAATGTCCTAGTGAGGTTCCCTATGTTCCAGTACTAGGAACTCTTCTCCTCCTAATGTTTATGAACGACCTTCCTCAATGTGTGTCATCCGACTTATGACTTTTCGCTGATAATGTGAAACTCTGGAGAGAAGTTTGCAACCAAGATACCAAGCTGGTACTTCAGGACGATCTCACTCTACTTCAAAGTCGGGTGGACAACAACAATCTCTAACACTTCAAAGTTTAAATTAATCCGAAGTAACTACCTTCTAGAGGTATCCCAAGTTGAAAATGATCTAGGAGTGTTGGTACCCTATGATCTGAAGTCTTACGCTAACTGCGATAAAAATGTCTTTATAGCAAATTGTGCACTGATAACGTCGAAGAGCGAATTTTCGGTCAGTTCAATGATAGGACTTCCCATTTACTCTTCGACAGTTTTGTTCCACCCCGGTTAAAGTATGGAAACATAATGTATCCTCCCTCACCCCAAAATGATGAGGGTCATTGTGACGTGTCCAATAGTGAGCCACGAACTCAGTTCGGGGACTCAAATTCAATTCTTACGAAGAGCCCCTAAGGTCACTGAATTTGAAGCGTGTTAGATACTTCTGGACATCTCCTTAAATATCTATTTCAGCTCAGTCCCAACATAATTCTTCGGGGTAACACATAGAAACTGGAAACACAACATAGCAGGACGGACAATAGACAAATCTTCTACTCATTAAGAGTAGTCGAACGTTGAAATTCGATGTCGACTAAGTCAGTTCAAGCGACTTTACGGGAGTTCTTTGAGAGAAAACTTGACATATTCTTAAGGACTGAAATTAGTATCTCATTGTAATTTACTAATATTTTTCCTCTTTCATCGTTAAGTATCCCTTTGTTACTACCAGGTGACATCGGTGACTCACTGTCAATAGGTATGGGAGCTCTTTAAGCTAAAACGTCTTCTACTCCTACAAGAACTATTCGAGTCCTTCTTAAAGTTATCATTTTTGGCGCTCAAATCAACATTTGTTGTCTGGCGGGTTGGTTGCTTGTTGACTTTTGTAGTTGCGAATCCAATATTGTCGTAATGTAAGACTTGCTTCTATGCTGACTGCTTCCTTTTGCTTTCCTTAACGGGTGCAAGTAAATTGCTTGTACTTACTGAGTCGTTGACTCACGTTTCCTTATGTTCTCTCCAGCCCTCCTCACTCTCCCTTCTACTTGCTCCCCTAATTCTCAAAGCATCTTATAACTAAACACAAGCCTACACACTTTTCAAAAGTCCTTAAGGTTACATGTCCTCGTGATTTTACCATGTTGATGGTCAAAATATATGTATAATCCCTATTTTTTATACCTTTTCGAGCTGACCTAAATGACTACCCTGTCTCTGTGGGAGTGCTATTGTTTTAAAAGTCTAAAGTTAGGATTCACAGAGCGTGACTCCGAATCCGTTGATATCTGTATGTTGCGCCTAAGTATCTAGCTAATTCTACAAGTGCGCTAATATACGTACAGTTGGTCAAAACAACACATTAAATAGTTTCTAGTAAAGCTGTGTTTAAGTTATTCAGTGAAAGTGCTATCCGGATAATCGCACATGCAACCAAAGTAGTCTTGTCCATTGGTAAATACAAACGTTCCGAAAATACGCCAATTGCCGTACATTCCAAACCATCACCCATTGCAACATTGTGTCGTGTTTCATTGATTATCAACCTATTGCATACTACAGTAATGTATTCGGCCAATATATTTCTGCAGCTTGCTGCGGAAGCAGTTTTACTGTAATAGAAGCACGTCATGTGGCGGCTCATAATGGTGTGGTGTTTCAACCTTATTAGCCACTTTGACAGTCAAGCAATGTCAGCCAAGGTCTTAAGAGGAATACTGGAAATTCCGTCTCACTCCTCGTGCTTCCATGTTTTAAAATGATACCTTATGATTAAAAATGTAGCAGTACACTACTACACAACTGTGACAACTGCTGAGTGGGGGAGACGTAAGTTTCATTAATTTAAGAACGCGACTCTAAACCAATAAAATGTAGGTCTAAATCCCGTTCTAATTTCTTTGTTTTCAGTTGTCTAGCCTTACTCTGGGAACCCATACATCTTAGGTCAAAACATTTTCCATGATTAAGCTCAAAGTTGTATGATATACTCTTTGAGTAAGGTTTTACAGCGTTAGATTGATTAAAGCTGCATGGGTTAAGTATTTTTCTACTCTCAAATCTATATTAGTCATATTCACCTTAATTTAATAATTTGTATATTATGTAGATGGATCCAGCTCAAGAACCCAACTCAGGGACACATGCAAATAATGTCCAGGTAAGTTTACCATGCATTTTCTATTAAATTAAGTATTAATCCACTGTTAATGCTGATTTTCGACTTGACGTGCTAGTAACTATTTCTTCAATTAAGTTCAACGTTGTCATTATTTCAGAACTTGCCTAATTTAGACCAGTTATTACGAAAGTGGACAAATCAAAATAAATTATCCCATGAAGCCGTAAAAGGTTTTGCAATTAAATCGAAGTGAACTAAATAAATTCTAAAGATGATCGAGGTAGACTTGTGTATATAAGGTTAAGAGTTTTTCGATCAGCTAGATGGGTTTCGCGGAGGTCGCGTCAATGTTTAAGCTGTTTTCATCATACGGGTTATCACGAAAAGCCTCAGCCCTAGACATGTTTCGTCCCAGTATGATATCCCTCGGTAGTGTCCACCTACAATCTGCTCATTGGGTGACAGTTCATTAATTAGTTTGGACAAGAGCAGTCATAAGATTAACTTATCCTCAGAGTTCTTCGTTGTGTCCATGTGTTAGTTTGTGGGGTCTACATATTTCAGTGTTGGTGTCATGAAGTTTATCTGTCCATTAAACTAGTAGATTTGATAAAAGATTAGGTTTGGTGACAACAGCTGCTTGAAAGGTTTGTCTTCCTCTAAGCTTGCTAATTTCGTCCAAATTAACCCGCATTTTTCGAAGGAAGTCAAAAAAGATATACATATATATATATATATATATATATATACAATTACAAATTATTAACGCGTTCCTATGCGTTTGTACTAGAAGCTAAATGCTACTGAAACAAGGACACAATTTATAAAATGGATCTGGGTTCGGATCCAATCAACTACTTGTTTATCCTTCACCTTGAATGAATTGTGGACCGTTCTGTTAATTAATATTTTTGGAATTTTTAGTGTTTTACATTTCTTGTCTCAGAAATTTGAATTTTTTCTAATTCACGGATCAAAGATTCATGCATCTGACCATAAGTAGTACTTTTTAGTGTGATGTAATTCTCGTACCAGGTACAGGTAGGTTGTCAATAAAACTCCGCAACCAAAACCGCATTAGTTGAATCAACTTTTCACCTGCTACCAAGTATTTCATGTATTTGAAAATGTCATACATAAACATGCGCTTGATAATTAGGAGATAACATTTGCCGATACTATTGAGTCTTTAATGTCAGTCAGTCACAACGTAAAACTTCGTACGTACGTACATCAGTTCGAGTTGCCATACCACATTAGCACAGAGATGCAGATGTCGATTCAAATCCCATAGTGATAGAAGTAGTAAAAGTATAAGCAGTAATCGGAAAGATTAGGGTTTGAAGATGTTATTGAAGGAGTACAATCCAGTAAAATAAATTCGGAAAGAGAAAAAAGATAGAAACATGAAGAATTAAGAAAATTAGAATTTGGCAGAGCACAAAGAGTGGATGCACCTTCGTCACTGCAAACGATTTTGAGCCATGTCATTCAAGGTCTCTAACCATCGGTTGCTATCATCTCGTGGATCCCAACCAGGTAGTTTACACCTATCAACATGGCTCAGTCCACTTGTCAGTGACTTCATGGATTCATGCCACGTTTTGGTCTGGCAGCCCCTAGCTTTCTTCCAACCTACTCCTACACCATAAATCATTGCACATCGGGACAGTCGGTGGTTGGGCATACGTAACACGTGTCCCAGCTATCCCAACTGATGAAGTTTCACTACTTTATCTGTCGATTTGTCATCCTTACCTAGTACCCGTTTCCTAACAACTGCACTACTTACCCGGTGGTCTCAGGATATACAAGCAATGCTTCGAAGACAACTATGATCGAATACTAGTAGCCTACGAATATTCTCTACTCTTATCGGCCATGTTTCACTGCCATAAAGTAGAACGGAACGAACTGCTGCACAGTAAACCCGTCCTTTGGTTGCTAGACGGATATCTCGCCTACGCCATAAAGGACGCAAGTTGGTGAAAGCTAATCGAGCCTTCTCTATTTGTGCTGAGATTTCGTCAAACACCAGACCATAAGTGCTGATGAGACTTCCAAGATAAGTAAAGTGGTCGACATGATCAACTACTTCACTCCTTATCATTTTTTTTATTATTATTTAAACACATAAATATTGGTACAACGAAGCACCAGATAAATATGCGCCTCACAAATCTCATTCGATTTGTGTGAGGGCTGTGATACTGCCCAGGTGCCCAGACTGAAGCAGGTGGTTTTCTTAGGGGGCCACACCCGGAGCCTTTGACCTGAATGTCTGATCCACAAGGCAGTGGAGCATCGTGAGGAGATGCAGTCCCATGGTAGTCGTTGACCAATGACAGGTTCGTCCGCCATTCGTTCCATCAGGATACTGGAGCCCATGTGCACCATTGGTTTGGAATCAGGGTTTTCCAACTCCCCTAGGTGGACCCTCCGTGTCCACCAACCCGGTTAAAGCGCCGGACATTCGCTTTTCGTCCTCTCACTTTCGTAAACAACACCCCCGCCACGAGAAGGCAGTGAGTAGGACTTCCCTGACAGAGGCTATATATTCGCGTGGCCATGTGAGAGCATTTCGAGAGGGAGAGGTGACTCTCCCCACTCTCGGCCGTACCAGGGCATTTGGGGGCCTCCTTATCATTAGTACAGGTGTCGATGTAACCCAATCCTGAAGTAACATTTTGCACTTCGAGGGGGAGAATCGCATCTCGAACATGCCTGCATTGTTGCTTATAGTGGTCAGAAGACTCTGAATTTTGTCAGCGTCTTCACGAAATAGAACTATGTCATCAGTGTATTCTAAGTCAACAAGTGAGTCTCACGGTAAAAGTTCAACTCCAAGAGATTTAGATGATGAAAGTATCATATGTAAAAGCATGTCAACGACAAAGTTAAACAAGAATGGAGTCGTTAATTTTAGTGTGTCAATTCTTTCCTTGTCTTTTGTCATTGCTACCTACGGTTAAAAGCTCCAATAGGTTTAGTCTAAAGCGAGTTTCCGCTGTTAACTGCAATATAAATGTAAAATATCGAAAACTAGATCATATTTTTGGTATCGTAGTTCACGATCACTTTGATGTAGATGTGCTTCTGTAATTTTGTTAGCCATTACTGCAATCGCGTCACTTTTCATACAAAGTTTATACCTATAAATGACTGTTCAGCTGCTTCTGTTTCGTTTTTAGGGAGCACTTCGGCAGCTTGATTTGTTGGTCGAAAAGGCAGAGCACTATGCTCAGGTGAAACTTATTGGTTCTGGAACAAAAGATTTGTCTAGTCCATCAAGAATCAAACAAGAGCAGCCTATTAGTTCTCCTACTTCTCATTCTTTTGGAGAGTAAGTTATGCGATTATTATTCGAAGCATTGTTTATTCAGCCATCGACATCGTCGTACTGAAAAGGAAGAAGATGAAGAACTGTTGACCGAAACTAAGCATAGTTCATCTGGTATTCAGCGTTTCGAAGCTTCTCCGTGGTGTAAGTAACAAATTATTGCCCATATTTTTTACGCTTTAGATGTAAAGGGAGGAGAGATGCGTGACTATCAAATCCGAGGTCTAAATTGGATGATTCAGCTCCATCATAATAATATAAATGGGATTTTAGCGGATGAGATGGGATTAGGGAAAACTTTACAAACAATATCATTACTTGGTTATATAAAACACTGTCGACACAAACATGGGCCACATATGGTGATTGTGCCTAAATCTACACTTTCTAACTGGATGAATGAATTTGCTCGTTGGGTTCCTTCTTTGCGCACAGTTTCATTAATTGGAAACCAGGATGAAAGGGTAAATGCCACTATTACTGAGTTGCTTATTTTTCATATTTCTAGAGTCATAAAATACAAGAGGAGATCTTGAAAAAGGAATGGGATGTTATTGTCACAAGTTATGAAATGTGTATTAAAGAGAAGTCGGTTCTGAAAAAATTTCACTATATATATTTGATAATCGATGAAGCCCACCGGATTAAAAATGAGAAGTCGAAATTATCAGAAATCGTTCGGGATTTTCGCTCTCAAAACCGTCTCTTGATTACCGGTACACCTTTGCAAAATAATTTACATGAATTATGGGCTTTATTAAATTTCCTAATGCCGGATTTATTTTCTTCATCTGAAATGTTTGATGATATGTTCAAAACAAATAATGATCACGAAGAGAGTTTAGTTCAACGTCTACATGCAGTTCTAAAACCATTTTTGTTAAGACGAATTAAAGCTGATGTGGAGAAACGTTTACCACCAAAAAAGGAGTGCAAGATTTATATTGGCCTTAGTAAAATGCAACGTGACTTGTACACCAAGATTTTAATGAAAGATATTGATGTGGTGAACTCTGTAGGGAATAAAGTGGATCGTCTTCGTCTGCTAAATATTCTCATGCAACTTCGTAAATGCTGTAATCATCCTTACTTATTCGATGGGCTAGAACCAGGCCCTCCGTTTACAACAGACCATCATCTTGTTGATAATTGTGGAAAGCTGATGTTACTGGATAAACTGCTACCGAAACTCAAACAACAAGGATCAAGAGTCCTTTTATTTTGTCAAATGACGCGAATGATGGACATCCTTGAAGATTATTGTTTGTGGCGCGGCCATGAGTACTTTAGACTAGACGGATCCACACCCCATGAAGAACGCCAGGTCAGTATTTCACCTCACGAACGGTAATAAATGCTCTTTTATCGTCAACTTGTAAAATAGATATTATGGTTTTTTTGATATCCAAGATTTAATTCATGGTCGTAAAACATAACCTCTGAGGATAGAATATATACGAAAGGTAATAATATTCGTTCGTAAACATCTCCTAAGCTTCATTCGCACATAGTGGAATCACGAAATAACTAGTGTTGAGGGTAGTAATGAGATACCAAATATTCAGGCCAATATAGATATTATTCCATCCTAAACTGGGTTTTCTGAGATATTTGTTTCTCGTACCTAGCCACCGCTTACCTTGGCGTGCGGTGCTGCATAACGTAGGAGCACATCAAAGGAAGTCCGAGGAGACAGAATTGGTCGTAGTATCGTTTCATGAAGCCACAGACTTCTGGTCATGGTAGTGTTGATAGGTGCTGCTAACTTGTCGTGGTGGTCGGGCTTGCCTATTGTGATGACCCAACCGAGCTATATTGGCTGGAACATATGTTCCTGTAGGTTCTACCACGCCAGACAGGTCGATTTAAGAACGGTAAGACTAAAAGCAGTAACTCAAGGTCTGAGGGCAAAGTCGTAATGCTGACCATAGAGGGGTGTGGCAGCAGTAAGGTGTTTCCCTCGGACAACCAGCATCTGCAGCGATGCTGCCTTCTCATAAGAAGAGATGGGGTTAGAAAAGGTCGACTCTAAAAATGTCACGTTTCACCTTACCTCACGGATATCCGTCTCCGGTGGTAAGGTTCCAACAAGTACGGAGCTAACACAAAAATTACTTACAAAATGGTCGTGTGTGGCCGACCTCAGGCAGTTGTCCCTTGAGCACTGCGGTCACATTCTCGGGTCACTATGACCATTTCTAATCCAATCTTTTCAAGTACCTCTTGAGGAACCCTCCCACGGTGTGGACACTCGCGAGAATCTGGCTGGTTTTCGTTCAGATTGTAAATATATTGATCGTTTCTCCATCTCACCCGAATCCTCGAGTGTTTTCACACTTTGTATTGACCTGTTTTCATGTTAATATGTTTAACTTGCTTAGTGTGTTGATAGCGTCCTTGACAGTGGTCACTTACCCCTTACTGTATTTTTTCCCCTACCAGTCAGGTAACAAAATGATAAATTCTGCCTATTCCCCAAGTTCGGTTCAAATATGTGTATCCGTCGATGTTATCAACTATTCCACTGACGTGGATGCGCTTGATTAATTTCGATATTTGGACCCAATAACAAATATCATAAAACAGTTTTACTAGCCATTATGAGGAAAGGATCAATCTTATTACTAACATATGGTCTTGTTATTATTAAGTACTCTTGGGATAAGGCTGTGAGGAATCACTATCTTTCAAGTCTCGAACATTTGATCCTTATTTTGTGACTGTCGTTTATATTCCAATCTCCTTAGTTTTGACCCGTATGTTTATAATTATGAAAACCTACATTTAATACTCTATTTCTTTTTGCATGTTTTGTCACCTCTAATTATAATCTAGATTTCAATTGATGAATACAATCGTCCAGGTTCTACCAAATTTCTTTTTATGCTTTCTACAAGAGCTGGTGGTTTGGGTATCAATTTGGCCACAGCCGACGTAGTTATCATCTATGACTCAGACTGGAATCCTCAAGTTGACCTTCAGGCCATGGATCGAGCACATCGTATCGGACAAACCAAAGCTGTACGCGTTTTTCGATTAATTACAGAACATACAGTTGAAGAGCGTATTATTATGCGTGCTGAGATGAAGCTCAAATTGGATAACTTGGTTATTCAACAAGGTAATCTTTAAATACGTAACCATCCGTTTTAAACTGAATGACTTATAATGTACCATTAAAGATCGACTTACCGTTACTCCAGATTATGTTACAGTCACTTATAATGGTTACTGAAATTCCAGTCAATTGTGTATCGTGCTAAAATTACCATATCTAATGCTTACCACAGTCCCATACCCAATCGCTGTGAAACCCGTAGACGGTATAAATCCTATACAAGTTGGCGTCTCGAGTCACGGTCCATACATTTTTAGACCTGAAACTTACCTGACTATTTCAAAATAAAGTACACCTTGCATATTTAAAATATCAGTTACTAGTTCAAAATCCCTAAGCAATTTTGTGTATAAAGAAACTACTCGATTTTTTAACGACTATTTAGCACTAGGAAATGATGCGGATGTTCTTGAACTAAATAGACGACTACTGATTCCTGTTAATACATTTAAGGAATTTGATAGGTTTATTTATTACATTCCTTTAAAACATAAGATCTGTTCAGCACATTCGTATTTGAGATGTCATTACCAATTGAATACAGAGTACTAGGTCAGTGAAACTTTGTAGATCAGGTTAACTCTTTCTTCTCACAATATGAACCCTAATTAGCAATGATCAAATGATTCTTTTCTGACTTAAACGTCTGCCACTTTTAAGGGATCTGTTGATCTATGCATGTTAGATTTTCGATGTATATATGAATATCCATGGTCTTAAAAGTATGTTGCATATTAAAAGCAGTAACTTTTAATCATGAAACTAACCATTTCTTACCAATAATAACTAGTTTATTCGTGTTCGTTAGGTAGATTCAGTAACTTACGATCTTCATCCCGTCAATTTGACAAGATCGATATTGCTTGACAACCAAGATTAAGCTTGCAAAATGTGGCAACTTGTGTCTAATTTCGTTGGTGAATCGCAGACCGGCGTAATTATAAGCTTTGAGTATGACTTCGAGCATAATAATTGATATGTCTTGTCGATTTGAACTCTATATTCGTTTTTCTAAGCTATTCTGGTAACCCACAGGCTAGAACTACTCAGCGACTTCAACACCAGAGAGAAGACGCAAGTATGAGAGGAAAAATACTTTACTCCAAGGTTCGTTCTTGTACAGAAAATCATGGGTATTTGTAGATGTTAGCGTCTGTTAAATCAACATCATATTTCAGCCAATCCGTTAACGACATAATATGCTACCGACCAATAATAACACGCCACGTTGAAATTCTATAATGTTCCATCATATTCTGGTTGGCTAGGGCTCCTCGGTTCCTTTTGGGCCTCTGGAGGCTCCGTTGAAGTTCTCCGGAAGCCGACTCAACAATAATCCATATCTATCTTTCGTGGTCTGAAAGACTAGAAAAAAGCTAAGCACCACCACCAGTCATATATTTGTTGAAATTACTCTGATGCCTTGGTTTGTAAACGGATATTCTCGACATTTTTCACGTTTTTAACTTTCAGCTTTGACAATTTAGCCAAATGCAGGTTTATTCACTGATCATTGTTCTACAAAAGCACAGTTTGGTTAGTACTATTATCTTACAGCATAGAGAGTAAGTGACTTGAATTGAAATTGAGAAATCCACCGTATAAAAATCGGTGACCCAAATCATTAAACCACAACTCCAATACGATTCCGATTAACTTTAACTCTTTTCTCTACCAAAGGTCAGATTTGTCAACTGGAATATGCATAAACATCAATCTTGTCAAGTATATTAATTCTTTTGAAATTATGTTACATCACCCTATTTTTTTAGTGGAAATCTAATTTTTAATTTTGCTTATCACAGTCTGCTGCCGGATTAAAGTATTGTTTTTGTATCTACAATACCCAATTTCGGTGTTCACAAACTGTCGTGTGAAATACTTCTTTAAGTCCATTTTCTTGTTATTCATTGTCTATTTCCAGGTCGTCTTGTTGAACAAAAATCAAACCAACTTCAGAAGGGTGATGTTTTAGATATGATCAGACATGGTGCCAATTACATTTTCCGTAGCAAAGATAGTGATTTCAAAGATGAGGATATTGATATTATCCTAGCTCGAGGTGAACAAAAGACTGCTGAAATGAATGAAAAACTGGCTCAATTGGGAGAATCTAATTTAAGATCTTTAAAATTCGATACGGCAGATGAAAACGGTGCACCAACATCAGCATATATATTCGAGGGAGAAGATTATCGAGAAAAACAAAGTCGCACTTCCCTATTAGATGTATGTGATTTTAATGATATAGTTTAGATGAAGTCAGAGTAATCCATTTTTAATGTTTTCTCTTTGCAACTGTCATTTGAGTCGTTTATGTTTACTAATGATGATGTGTATTTGTAAATCATTACTGTTCACCATTTGTGGTTTGTGTATTCTAATTTAATAAATATTTTATTTCTAATAGGGTTGGATAGAACCTCCGAAACGTGAACGCAAAGCAAATTATGCAGTAGACGCATACTTTCGTGAAGCGCTTCGTGTCTCTGAACCTAAAGCACCGAAACCACCTCGACCACCGAAGCAACCGAATGTGCAAGATTTCCAGTTTTTTCCCCCCAGACTTTTTGAGCTTTTAGATAAGGAAATATATGCATTCAGGTTGGTCTAATTTTCTTAGGTTAATCAAAACCTTGGATTCTTGTTTTTCCCTATTTTTGAGCTGAACTTACAAAAGCTGGAATGAAAGTGTAAATACAAACAGAAGGAATAGTATGTGGTTTCTAAAGATTATTACACACCATTTTATGTACATCTAAATTTTCTACCAATAGCTGTACATAAACATTGTTGTACATATGGCCAAAGGTCTTGTGGTTAGTTTCACAAACCTTTGAAAACCTAGTAGATTCTCAGGTACTAATCACGGCAGAGGGTGTGGGTAACAGAAAATGAAGATAACCTAATTTATCTCCTACCAAGAGATTCACTTACGGACCTATAATACTTTTATGATTCAGCCCTGTTTGACGGGGACGCTGACACAATAGTCTTCTGATAGCCTCACTCAACAATGCATGCATGTTTGAGATGCGTTTATCCTCCTCTCAATGCGAAATGTTGCCTAAGGACTGGTTTATGTCACCGTCTAAATTGACCATAGGGGGTGAAGTAGTTGAACACGTCAACCATTCTATTCACCTTAAAGGTCTAATCAACCCTGGTAGGTTGATGTTTAACAAAACCTCAACCCAAAACAAGAAAGTTCACTTGACTTTTACCAATTTACATCACACGGCTATCCGTATCTTGACAAAGAGAGGAGTATACTCCGCAGTAGTTTTCTATTTTACTGGATGACCTTTAAATGTAGAGTTACTAGTATTTGACCATAGATGCCTTCAATGCGTTCCTCCCATACATCGGGACCACTGAGAGTGATCAATATTGAGATTAGATGTTGAGTGCTAGTCAAATATACTAAAAAGGTTAATAAAATTAAGAATCATCAGCGGTTGAAGTGTTTTTGAAATCTACCTATGCTAAACAAGCTCTTACCTCGACGTGCCATGCTACCTTGAGTAAAAACATGTTGGGAAAAACAAATGTGGCATCAGTCTATTAAGTCAGTAAATCAGCTAAGGTTGAAATATAACTGGGACTATTTAAATGGTCTTCTGATTGTTCGTTAAATACTGACTAATTCACATTTCCAAAGTACTGTAGGATTACAGTTTTAAACGTCCGATATGAGCTACTGAAATGACCAAACTACCGACTTCATAAAAACAACTAAGAATGGCGTTTTGAAACTAATTAACTAAATCAGAAAGGTATAGGAAAAGGAAAATTACTTTGACAGATCCCTGCTCACCTTGTGTTTATGGTAATTATGCTAAAACAATTTAATAAAAATTTGTTGAAGTATCACTATTCTTTATTTCTTGTTTGGTTTCAGAAAGAGTATTAATTATAAAGTTCCTCGTAACCCAGATGCTGGACCAGATGGTGAGCGTGATCGTCTGGAAGAACAAGCTAGAATAGATGAAGCTGAACCATTAACTGAAGAGGAACTGGTCGAGAAGGAAGAGCTTTTAACACAGGTAAATGAATAAATGATATGATATAGCTCACTACTATTTGGCATACTCAAATCCTTATTATTTAGTTAAGATCGCTTCCAAATAAATAATCGTGTGTGTTTTTTTAGGGTTTCACAAACTGGTCGAAACGTGATTTTCAACAATTTATCAAAGCCAACGAAAAACACGGTCGTGACGATTTAGAAGCAATTTCAGTAGATGTAGAAGGTAAAACTCCAGATGAGGTTAAACGGTATGCCCGTGTTTTTTGGACAAGATGTAACGAGTTACAAGATGTCGACAAGCATATGGCTCAGGTAATTGTTAATTTATATCGATATTAATCCCTGTTGGTGATTCGAAAGACATTGTCTAGCTTGAATTTCCATATATTACGATTAGTGACTACATAAATGCGGTTATTGAAAGTTAACCAGTCGTAATAATCTCCCCGGACACTTTCGTATTAATAAAAGCTAGGTTTGAATGTTGTATGTTTGCTGAAATCACATATCGCCGGATATGATATGTGATATATTTATATATGTGTATATAATTTATATTTACAATACTAATCATTTTAATTATAATGAGCGGTTTAAATATTAGTATGTTTTAATCTGTTTTTAAACTACTTATGGAAAGATTTACGACAGAATGAATAAGGGGTCTATTACCACATGCATTTTCAGTCTTACAGGCGCCAATCAATTAAGTCCACATGTTATAAAAATAAAGCAGTAATTTATTTCTTATTTTCGGAAGTTTATCCTACTAATCTAACGTCGACTCTCTCTCGGAATGCTCTCACATGACCACGCGTATACAGCCACCTCCAGGGAAGTTCTACTCACTACCTTCTCGTGGCATTACTGTTGTTTACGAAATTGAGAGGACGAAAAGCGAATGTCCGGCTCCTTTAACCGGGTTGGTGGACACGGAGGGTCCACCTAGGGAAGTTGGCAAACCCTGATTCCAAACCAATGGTGAACATGGGCTCCAGTATCCTGAGAGAACAAATGGCGTATGAACCAATTGTTGGTCACCAGCTACCATGGGACTGCATCTCTTTACGTTGCTCCTCTTCCTTGTAGGTCAAACCTTTAGGTCGAAGGCTTTAGGCGTGGCCCCTTGTGAAAACCACCTGCTTTGGTTTGGGCACCCGGGCAGTATCACAGACCACATACAAACCAAGTGACTTGTGTGGTTCATATGTATTTAGTGACCCTTTGTATCAATATTTATGTGTTCAAATAAATAAAATATATATCTTCACCGTGAAGTTTTAAAAAAAATATTCTTATCTCACTTTTTTGTTTACTCATCAGATTGAGCGTGGTGAAGCGAAAATCCAAAGAAGAGCTGCCGTAAAACGTTCTCTTGATCTAAAGATGGCTCGATATCGAGCACCGTTTCACCAACTTCGAATACAATATGGAACAAATAAAGGGAAGAACTATGTCGAGGAGGAAGATCGCTTCTTAATCTGCATGCTTCACAAACTTGGTTTCGATCGTGACAATGTATATGATGACTTACGTCTTGCAGTTCGCTTAGCCCCACAGTTTCGATTTGATTGGTTTTTGCGATCTCGCACAGCAATGGTGAGTAGTGTCAAGTAATCGCCGGTGATTGTTTATACTTAGTGGAGTTTTCAATTTATTTATCGACTTCTCACTTTATATGCTTGGGAAAATTGCAGTTACTATTTTCTTACCTGTTCACTTTTTATTTTAGGAGCTACAAAGACGTTGCAGTACTCTTATTACTTTGATCGAGAGAGAAATATGTGACTTGGAAGACCGAACAAAACAGCGCAGTGGAGTAGGCGCGAATAATTTACCACTCACTCCTGCAAATTCCGGACCATCTAACACATCCACAGTATCCAACCAAAAGCGGAAGTCAACTTCAGCTGGTGGGATTGGCTCTGATTCAACTGCAGAAATGTCCGGAAACTCAAAGAAAAAGAAGGTCACTGCTTAAATAACAGTGATTTGTAAATGTCTGTCTTATATTCTTGTTGTAGGCCTCTTGCATTTTATTTTATGTACTCGCTTCCCTTGATTTCATACTGGTGTATTGTTTATCAAATCTTACATTAATAAAGATTTGTAATTAAATTTACTTGCCAAATATTTCAGTGTATACCAAAGCATTAACTCGATTCTACTAAATAGTCTTATACATTTAAATTCACATAATTAATAATCTACCTAATGAAAACAATTAATGACAGAGAATTCACTCATTTGATCAAAAACTCAAAATATAACTTTCTCATATCGAATATATTTAAGAAAGTGATTGTTAACAATAGAATTGACTTGATAAAGCGACACTACTTATAAATGACCAAACTTTAGTAAATTTTCGAAGAAAACTATCTGGTTTTTAGAATGTCCGCTTCAAAAACTTTACAACGAATTATAAATTTTGTTTTACATGGCCACATCACATTTGCAGTCATGTGAATCAATAAAATCATCGAATACCTAACGAACAGTTTCAATTCTTGAAAACAGCTGGATTACGTTACCATCTTATAATTATTCTAGTTAGTTCACTGGGCATATCCTTAATGTAATCATCATTTACAAAAAGGCATCTAACCTAACAGTATTGTGTTTCACTTTAGGTTGGCACATTTTTTGCACGAACACACATAATCTTCAGCAAGAATGAAGCGCCCGAGTGTTTTTCTTCAATGCTTACTCGCGTTGTCTCTGCAACCTCAGACAGAGAAAAAATGTCATGCGTCTGAATTATATCTAGTCCCCGTTGTGTTGTCTCACACTATGATTATTGTTTAGACCCTAGTTTCTGCAGATTGTTAATCGTCTAATTAAAAATGTAAGGCGGTTTTACAATAACAACAATCATTTTAATAGTGGCTTACAAAACGTACAATAAATGTTTACAGACGGTTTATTTTCCACCGTATACTAAATTATGTATTTATATGTTATTAGAGTGATCATAATTCACAGCTGAACGTAAGCAATGAAAATAAGATGAAATGTTACTACTTAAAATTAAACATAATTCATGTAAGAAATATGTTGTTTCTGACTTTATTCAGTAAGAGATCGTCCGTTAAAACCAGAGGAATAATCGATCTGCGGTAAGATTTAGAAGATCAATGTATGCTAATGTTGTAGACAAAAAACTAGTAGTAGTATGTGCAACTTATATCGACCCAAGTAGTACATAACGCTAGTCAGGAATATAATGTCTGGCAGCAGAAGGAAAGAAAGTGATTGGTATGGAAATGAAGGAACAGTGAGGTCTGAGACAATTGATCGATACTTGCAAAAGAATAGTCAAGTTTGAGACGATTGATATTTTGTAAATTAAGTATCCATTGTATGGTTCTCAGATTTTACTAAACTGTTCTTTGTTCAACTACATCCGGTTGTATCCACCCGTGTTCTCGTTCACTACAGTAGCACGAGTTTCGAAGTATGTATATTCGTCTATAATGGGTACATGATTGTGACGAGATGGCATAGATTTCAAATATACTGTCATTAATATAATTTAATGTTTGAACGAACGAAGTGAAAACTTCACTGTTTGCATAATCTCTAGGGCTCAACAAGTCAGTGTAAAATAACTGAACAGATAAAGTTTCACTGAAATATGTGCTTTTTAAGTAAAAATGATAGTTTACCTAAAGAAATTGGTACTAATAATGATGTGAAGTGTGTTTGGGGATCACTGTCTTCCTACGTTGTTTTTATCATGAATAATTCTATGTAGTGATTTTTCTCTCTAATTCCTGCTTGCTGCTCGAACAGCCTATTCTCATGGTTAAATTGATTGTTTTATCATCCAAAAGTAATGCTATAGCACGACCTACTTTTGTGATTGCTGCTTATTGTAACAAAAGTTTTATTCTTTATTAACTTTAACAGGTTTTGAAGCTTTTAATGCCTTGCAACCGTTATATCTGAAATATGAATATAGTTAAGAAATTAAATAATTAGATATAAAGCGTGCCTTTCTAACTCACAATCGATAGATTGTTCACATACTAGCTCAGTTACTGCAAGTAGTTAGCTATGGCTACCGAATATTGATAATTGTATGTTTAGTGGATTGTTCTAGAGATTGTCTTTATCCACCAATGGTTCGCCGACCTAATAAGAAGTATTTATTATCAGTATAGGGTTGTGACAATTGCTGAATTCTACTAAAATCACGAACCGATCTAAACTAAACAACCACTAAAAACGTGAGAGCGCTGGACGACAGTTTCATCCCGGCATGGAAATCGCCAACAGTACGCATCCACAGCCCCACGGCTGGGGCTATTTTAATTTGGTTATTTATTCTCTGAAGAAGTGGCTTACACGAAATGTGAGAAAATTTAATTTTTCTACTCACTGGGATATTACAAATATTCTAAATTCTACTGCTAGCCAAAACCCATTTTATATAAATAGAAACCTAGATGAACCCGTGAAAACATATGAAGCAAGCAATTTTACAACAATAACTGAAATATGATCATGCGCTAATTATAAAGAAGCTACATACCAAATAACTATTATTCATTCGTTAATTAAAACAACTGAAGAATATGAAAAGATGTACTAACATATATATATATAGTGACTGAGAAACAGAAATTCAAATAAAATAAATTTCTATTAAGCAGTAAATAAATTAGTTATCTTTCTTAGTTTAAATAAATAAGTATTGGTATGATTGAGCAAGAGAATATGACTAGAGATTAACAAATATATAAAATAAATGAGTTTTGCACAGGATTGACGATTAAAAGACAATAAATTGCACATCATTTAGGTTTTCATGAGAATATTAATTATAATAATAGTAGCAGAAGTACTAGTAGAAAGTTAAAAATATTTTTTTATAAAGAAAAGAAATGAATATACATAATCATTATCATTTGTGATATTGTCCATTTTTTCGCATAGGAATGTTTTTATTTAACACAGATCATAGTTAAATAGGTAGTTAGTTGCCCAAATGTATTTGTCTAAAACTACATAAATATATGTTATACAAAGATCGATAATAAACAAATAGGAAGAACAAAAACAACTTATAAATATCTCATACACGCATACGTAAAACAGGCTAACTATGTAATAAATAAACAGATCAAGGAAAATTTTATTTTAAAAAAATATCATAAGATGATTGAATAATTCATGTAATTTTAAACAGTTTAGAGATCACGAAAACCGATTAGTTCGACCAATCCAACAGTGAACATACAACCAATTTGTCCGTTTTCACACTGAACTGTTTGTGTTAGATCAACTGGATCAGTAATCAAGCACGGATTAGAAAAAGTTAGAGTTGGACCACTTGAAGCCGTTGTGAGACAACTATCCAAGCTTAAACCTGGAGGTCCATTACTTATACTGCCACCAAGTTCTATACCATTATTTGAAGCTCTTTGAAAGCGTTGGTATTGTATGGAATGTATAATCTTTTCATCATCAGAACTTGATCCAATCCATCTATATATAACAAATGGACCAGGTTTAATGCGAAATAGAAAGCATAAACCATTTCCATAGTAAACAGATTCAACACGAGGTTGCCATCTGTCTGAACAAAAAGCTCCTATAATACTATTCCTTGACAAACTACGTACCAATAGAATTGTTGCAGGATTTTCTGTCTCTGCTGCTTTAGCATAAAATGTACGCAGGCTATTACCATCTACATTGGATGAAAATACTCGATATGGTTTGTATAAACAGGAATATTTGCGATCATCAACCGATGTGATAATTGAAGCTAATTCATTACTCGATACACACTCAGAGGGATGAATTTGTTTTTCAGCATCACCACCAAGTAAGTAAGCAGCGAATGTATTCTTTCCGTTTTTATTACATAGTTGAATTAGCTCTTTGTCAACATCGAAATTTACTTTCGTTAAAGAAAAAAATTAATTGAATTAAGACTAGTAATATATATATATATATATATATATATATATATATATATATATAATTATTTGGTCTAAGAATAATAATCGATTTACTCGCATTAAAGAAAAATGTTTCAACGTGTAGTTGATGATTAGGACTTGACAAAACAATATATAATATTTTTTAAGTAGGACAGGAATATTTCAATCGATATCTTGAGGTAAAGCTGGGATGTAAAAGTATGCAATAATAGGTTTGTTGGGTATGTTAGATCGCCATAACTCACTTGGTAAATGCCTAATTTTTGTAATTCTATTTTTAAATATTTGAATTCCTTGTTTTCGCGCCAAAAGCACCCATTTTCACTTTCATGTTGTATTTCCCACTTGAGAGGACGTTAAATGCTATTGGTTCGTTGTCTCTTTCAGTATGTTATTTTGTTATGTTTCTAAGGTACACTTTTACGCGGTATATATACTCTTGAGTTGTGCTTCTAGCTGCTTATTGAATATCTTACCCTTTTCTGAATTTGGACTTTTCTCTCTAGTTAGCGGGGCTGGGATGCATCGGAATAGTTAGCTGATTTGGTCATTGTGTCTCTGAGTCTTCGTTCTGTTTGCAGATTAGGTGAACCCGTAATCTACTCAAACATAGCGAGGTTGGGAGAAATACGATCACCGCAAAAATACTGTTTATTGTACATTTTTAATTCTTATTAATGTTTGGTTCAAATAATCTTAATGGACAGTTTATCGCACTGTTGGACTAGTAGTTCCCCATAAATCAACGTTGAAAAAATATGGTTTCGCGTTTACGAACTTAGCGATGAAAACAAATAACTTTCGATATCCATGAGACTTACTGAGCAATAAACTACCACTATCATAGTGTTTATCCTCTGTTTTAAGGACACTTATAAAGACTAGATAGATCATTTGTTGCTTCCATTTATCATGTGAACAACTTCACTTTACTGTGTAATCTTGGTGTTTCGTTTCATAATAAGACATCATTTAAAAAGAAAACTCTTAGTATTAAAAAACAAATATGGTTAAAATATCATAAATATTTTACAAATTGTTAGGTGAGCAAAAATTACCTTGAAGAGACTGAACACTTTTGATTGCCTGAGCAATTTTTATCCGACTCACACCACGCAGTGAGAACATTTTACTCATCAACTTTGATGGTGTCAATGGGATATGTTTGAATATTTCTTCATCATACGCAAACACATTAGAATAATCACCAACGTTTCTTCCGATTCCATTGGTCCCACTGCTAAGCTTTGAATACTTTCCACATAAGGAGGCTTTAAGAATCTGAACGATAGATTGCAAAAAAGGAACACAATTAATGTGCTTAGCACAATGGTATAGTTTCTTTAGAAACGATTCAACACTATGATAATTTA